TCCAAAAAAATATATGTTGTAAGCTAACATCCAAAGATTCCATAGAAAAAGTGTGGTAATTGAATCAAAAAAATATAAATATTTTTACAAATCTAGAAAAATATTTTATTTTTTCCCCAATATTTTCATTATCAAATATCTTCACCAATTTTTGTTATAACTGTATCTCTAGTACACCTACACGTATATTTTATTGACTGAAATCGGTCAAATTGTTCAACAATCGGAATCAATAGCAAAAATTGTTACTTGTACAAATTACAAGCGGGATTTACAAAACCATATGTGAATGTTGCGGGGCAGGCATATTGCACATGCTTTTCCCCTTAAGTTTCATGTTTGCCACGTAGAAGGTCCCATGCTCCTTTGTTGTTGATTTTTAAAAATATAATTAGCATTCAGTAGCAAAGAAAAAATTTCCTTTCACTTTCAAGTCAGGTGTGGTTGGAGAAGAGTTATATTCGTTTGTTGTTGATTTTTTTTTAAATACATATAATCTAAAAGAGTGTATGTTACAAATTTAAAGTTTTACAGAAACGAGGAAAAGCTATTAAAGTTATTAATTAGCGATGTTCTGAGCATTTTGTGCAACAAAGGCCTTTCTTCCAATCTTACGTATTATCTTACTCTCTGCTTTTGTCATTCGTCTGTTCTTTTTTACATAGGCCTTTCCTCCATTTCTGAGACCTGAGTTTATAACTTTCTGTGAACTGCTAACAACATTGATCAGTGTTTAGAAACATTAAAAACCATACCAAATATGCTCTTTCCAAAGAAGACTCAAGTTTCGAAAATTTGTAGCATAGGCCTTATCTTCAAGACATCCATTGAATAAGTGTTTAGAACCAACCAAAAATGTATATGCTCTTATAATATGTTCTTCCCAAAAAAAATCAACTTTCGGAAATTTATAGCATAGACCTTTCTTTAAGATGTCTATTGAATAAGTGTTTAGAAGCAATCAAAAATGTTCATTTCACTTATAAATGGTGTATGATTTGAGGTCGTTACCAAAACAATAATCTGAGACATCGTACAATTTGTAAATATCCTGAATTTATTCGGTGTCGTTCCCATCACTAGCCGGAAGAGTTGCGCATTTTTAGGAACAGAGTACGTGCACCATGCAGTTATTCACAGCGCCCCCCTCCTGTCACTGCCAAGTTGACGTGTATCTGTTTACTCGGCCGATACTTTCTTCTCTCGAATGTCTCTAGAAACTTCCGGTGCCACCGCTTATTGTCCTCTTCGACGCCTGTCGGTGTCGACACGTAGCGACGGCGGGAAACAAACCTTTTTTTCTTTTTTAAGGTCAGGCGGTTTTCATTTTGTTCACTAAGCACTCCAACTTTGCGAAGTTACCAGCCACCTTTCAAACCTGCCCCAAAGGTCTTTCAGTCTCAGATTTGCACTTCATTAACCCTTTGACCCAGAATAACGAGTCTAACTCGTGGCACGGACATTCTGCATTAAAAGTTGATTGACTTTTGGGCCTGTGTCTCTAATCATGTTTAAGAAATTAATTATTCAGCCTTAAAAAACGTGTGTTAGCATAATGTGACGAATTAACCTAGTATCGAATAATACGCACGATTGAGAACCAAATACAAACAATTTCTATAAAATTCCAATGTCAGTCACTCATCGTTCAGCTGGGATACTTGTTAGCGAGGTAATATATACATATTAAATGTTTAATACCGATGTTATCTAAAACATTAAATTATATATTAACCTTTCCTTTATGTCACTTTTAGAGTTCGTTTACTTTAATATTTATCGATGTTACTATTTTTATTGTAATTTGGTTGTTAGTTTGAAGAAACTTAAACTGATTGAACGAGTAAACCTAAAAATAATTTCTTTTTTAAAAAATAAAATAGAATGTAACAAGCCAATAAGGTTTGATACTTTTATTACGAATTTTGAGCATTTCAAACCTTCGTTAAGTCATACCTAAATGCAACAAGAAATATTTCAAGAATGATGATGTATGACTTTTTGCAATTGTTTCGAAAGCAATTGCATTCCTTTGCAATAGCATGGTGGATTCTTTGAACGTAAAAAACTACGCACATCCGCGTTTCTTGTCGTCATCATTGTCTGAATCATTTCCTGTCCTGGAGTATACACTACATGAACTATTGTTTTAATTAGGGAATATATATCTTTGCTTTCAGTGATGCCGCAGAAGCATCGAAATTCGTTAGAGAGAAGGGGAGGGGGGGGGGGGAGAAAGATTCGATGAAAAAAGAATCATAAAGATTTCTTTTTTTCACATTTCTTGTTAAAATGTGTACATTGCAAAGGTTTGTGTATTTCTTCTGAAAAAATCAGTGCGATCCAGATAGTCCATCAAAGAATAAAAAGAAAAGTGCTTGGATGTTATCAGGACACGGAGATACGGCACCGACGTACTTTCATTTTGCATTAATTTTTTTCTAAAGTATAGATAATTACCTTCAATATAGAAGAAACATTGTTTCGATGCAGTGAATATTGACGGAATTATGCGCATTTAAAAAATAGTACAAGTTTTATGAATAATTTTTCGCTATAATTTTGTTACGTGGTGTATAACATGAACTCATCCTTCGTTTTAATTATTACGGAGTTGGGAGTAAAATTGTTGAAGATTTCTAAATTTTATTTACTTGCAAAACTCATTTCGCTTCGTGGTTTCAGAAAAGTCATTGGGAGTTCGCAAGAAAATTGAAACATGTCACTGGAAACAAGAAGCACCCGTTAGACGATTAGGTGAAAGTGCAAACGAAGGTTTTGACCCCTGATCGATGGGTCACAGTTCAAGATCCAGCCTTCGATTGGGGTCGATCGGAGGAAACAGCCGTCGTGAGAAGCCCCAAGCGACCGTTTGCTCCGATTTTCTCCTCGTTAGCTGCGAGAGCGACGCAAATGTCGAGGAATACAAAAACAAAATGGGTTGCTACATCGACACCAGTTACCCGATCGAGCGCGTAGGCTCCGAAAAGGAACTTTTGAGAGGTCGACCTCGAACCACTTGGACGAACCTCTGGATACACGATCAGGATCTACGCACGGACATTCCGAGCGACATTTCTCAATCGCTTGCTCTAAGCTTACGTGTCGCGAATTCTCCACGCTGCAGGATCAAGGAAAGTAACCGAAACACATTAGTTTTCATGAAACTAACTAACTAACTAACTAACTAAAACAAATGTTCGTTGATTCAGCCTAACAATTCCATTTCATTTGGTATTTCGTATTTGTTTGCTACTACTTTCTGATTTTAAGGGGAAAACCACAATAGGAGGCCAAATATTAACTGTTTTTCGTGATTTTTCCTATAGAGAAAAAATAACTTGATTTTTTGTTAACTTTGAGAATATTTTAGGTACGTTTTAAACTACATTCGGTCATTTCACACCAATTCATTTCACACATTAATCTTTCAGATATCGGCTGTTTCCTATAGCCAGTTTTCGCTTGACTTTGTTATCGGTGGAAATTCTGGAGGTTACAATTGTTATTCGAAATCAATGAAGTTTGTTTACATTATTAACAAGTTTTCTAAGAACATGTACTAAACTGCAGCTCAAAAAGTTGAAAGTTGAATTTTTTCAGGAGTGTTTAATGAAAAAAGTATTAATTTTCACTAATTTGTGTGCATATTTTTACTTCATATTCAAGGCATTCAAATATAGTAAACGTATATAAAATTTAAAAATGATCCGTCAATTAGTTTTTGAATTATCCTTACGGATTGAAAAGATGTTTACAAAAACAAAGGTGATAATTCAAAGATATTTCTGTGAAACGAATTAATATCAATACCAAATGCATTATAAAACATATATAAAATATTCTTTTATATGTTTTATATGTTTATACGTTAAATACAAATATGTTTATAATTTGTTAAAATATTACATAAATTCTTCTCTGTAGAAATAAAGACTTAATACTTGACCTCTTAATGTCGTGTTTCTCTTCAGAAAAAAATTATCCCTGATATCAGAGCTACCTACGTTAGTTTATTCAAAGAAATTAGAAAATGCTCGACAGAAAAGCTGCACAATTCCTTTAATAAATTTTAAAAAAATTAATATTTACCACTCTATTCATGAGAGAAATTGATTTCTTCGTCACTATTTGTACGTAACACTATTCGTTACTTCAAATCGACCTGTCGCTTATTTTAACACTGAGAAAGTGCATACCAACTTATTTCCTTTCATCATTTATGACTCTTTTTCCTTTTTTTTTTATTTAATGCAATTAGAATCTCATTATAGAGATTATTTTGCTACTTACACAATACATACATAATTACATATTATATAATACATAATGCGTAAAACAGAGTACATTGTTGCTGATGAATAAATCTTTAAGTTGGAGTTTTATGAAATATATACGCAAGAGGTTACAGACTGACACAGTAGGTTTTGAGAAAAGGATACTCGCCCTCATGGAGAGATGGTATTTTAATTTCTGTAATCCTGTTATTAGTTTTTATCGCTGTTTATCATATATAGAACATTGCCATAAAATATGGTCTATGTCTTGATGCTCATATCCGCACTGGCATTGCGGATCACTTGTAAAGCCTATTCGTGCCAGTGAGAATGCAAGGATCATTTATGACTGATTAATAATCTTTGATCGTAATCTTTCATCTTAATCTCAGAAATTAGATCCCTCCACTAGATGGAACAGCTATATCTGTTTACAACTGTAGGGAGAATTCTGATGTTAGAAACTGCAGACCCATTCCAAATATTACCGTGTTTACAAATAATTCTAAATTTACCAATTATGAATGTACGCCACTAGTTGAATGTCGGGAAGTTGACGTTACGTGCGACGATTTCAAAAACGGATTTGACACTGCCAACCACGGTATCCTTGCCAAAAAACTATGCCAATTTCCCGGCAACTTTCTATCGTGGTTATACGGTTATGTAAACGATAGATCTCGATCAGTTGAAATGCAGAACTACCTATGTTACAGAGGCAGTGTTACATGTTATATTCGAAGTTCCTCAAGATTCACATTTGGCACCAACGCTGTTCGATTCCTTCAAAAGCGATTTAGTAAGCAATTTCTCTTGAGTTATTGCCTCGAAGCCTATGATTTATCGATGCTATTTGTAAAAATAAAAATCGAAGCACGTAAGCACCTGTTGCAATTGGATTCAATTGAATTTGTAGTCTGCTGAGACGACTACATGATAGTGCATCATAGTGCACCTCGATTGTTCCCTGTGAATCATGGAACCAGTCACGGAATCACGATACAACTAAAATTAATTTTACATGAAACGATGATCTGAATTTTTTTAAATAATGTGGAAAAGATTGAAGCGAAAAATTCGTCACTTAATGAAAGATATTGGCCTGTAATTTGAAAATCTGGGTATCAAGGTTAAGTACTATGAAGTCTTTCTCAAAACTATACTTCTCGAATTGATACGATGATTCGAATTTCAATGATATTATCTATCGTATGGTATATGACAGTTTTGTTTTAATTAGTTTTCAGGATATTGGACAAGGAGTTTAGCATAAAATCTGTTTTCGTAAATGCTATAATTTCTACATTTTGAAAATCAAAAACGTTTAAGTACGCTATAACATAGAAAGTGCCATTAAAAGTAAAAAGACTGCTGAACTTTTCAATTGTAGAAAACCGAAGAAAATTACGTATATGTTTGATTCAGACAGTAGTCATTGTTCATTCCCACCTTAAGTACGTACGGAAAGACGTTGCATATCCATGCGACAGTCTTTAATACTTCTTTGTTAATAATGAGTAACTATGATAAATACCTGAGACGAGTAATTTCTCTGGAAATTGTCAGTGAATACTTGTATGTTAAATGTTTGACACTCACCTGAAACAGAAAGAAAAGATCGAGATAATGATAGAGAACAATAATTTTGGTTTTAGGTTTTCAACATCAACGTGAAAACTTTAATTAGAATTAATTCTACATAAAAAACTTCAACCCTATTGCATATCCAATGCTCAAATAACGTGCTACCAACGTGTTTTAATACTTTCAAATGGAGTTATTTGCAACAGCGAGGCAACCTTCAACATTTGTTCCTTATTCGATTCTTCAGGTTTACTGTTTTGTGTGTTAACTTAATTTTACTTAATTTTTGGCAACGGTATTTTCTTTTTTATTAGAGGAAAAAAATCAGTGAAAGTTGTCACCTATACATACAAAAATCATTACACATAATTTTGTCTGCCTATGATATTATGAATCGATACTATGTTCTTAGGAAAACATTTCGATAATTTAAAATTATTTATTAATTTTCGAAATATTTGTTTCTGTTTAATTAGCGTTTATTTTTTTTTCTAGATGAAATTTTGTCAAGAGGTATTTCATAGACATGCGAGTCCATAATCAGATTGATCTGCGTCATATTCTGCTCTATCAGATTGAGAAAAGATAAACCACAGCCCAGTCATTACGTGATGTGATAGATTTCTTTGGCAGAGGAATAATTAGTGAAAGTCAATGTCGAGAGTGGTTTGCTTGTCTCAAATCTGGTGAGAAAAACTAAAGGGTAAAATAAGAAGAGGTTGACGATCAGATTTGATGGTTGATGGTTGAACAGGACGAAAGGATGACATACGATTTGTGGAGGCATGAGCATTTCTTTGCTCGTTAAACTGACCATCTGTTAAACAAAGCGAAAGCAGTTCTTCAAATAGACGGCGAACATGCTTCAGAATAACCATTTTAACATATTCTGAGCGTATTTTCATCTCTAGTTTTCAGATACATATTGTCTTGCCAGATAATTATGTATCAACCTATCACTACCCTAAACAAAATAAATATCCGTTGCAAGTTAGTTTTGGCTGCATTTGATGGAGAAACTTGCAACGGTTATGTTTTGGTCTCCCCAGCGTAAAACTTTTAATTCTTGTAAAAATCTCAGATACACATTTCTAATTTTTTTAAGTCTACAATATTGATATATTCATTATTCACCTTTTTGTTTACATATATTTAGAAAATACATACATGACATCGAAAATAAGTGATAAACAAGTTAATGATATTATTTGTTTTTAGTTTCGGATGAGAGAAACGGTCGGAGTCATGGGTACCATGGAACTACTTTATTTGTATTATTAATTATTGCATTAGAACTATTTCTTTTTGATTAAAACTTAGTATACGGCGTTCATGCTTGTAATATTATCCTTAGACGTATTATTCTTATATACATAAGACGTGTAGTATTATGTAGAGAAAACGGCATTGCAAGAGACCTTATGGTTATCCCTCCAAAAAATCCTAAAAATTATATAAAAATCACGCGTTTAGATGGGAATACCCCCTTAACATATTAGATTTCATACAGTATGGCTTTAAAGTGAAAATGCGTTGCATGGAATTCCATCTGAGACGATACCCTATTTACCATGAGACTATTCATAGGTTTTTTATTGCCATTGTTTACTTCTGGAATTTATTAAGAGTTTATTAGGAGTCTATTTATAATGATCAATTTTTGGACGAAGCTGTTGATGTACCCAGTAACAGTACGCAGAAATGAATGTTAGTATAGCAGATTAACATATACTAATGTAGAAAGTTCTCTGACAACGATAAGGTGCACACTCTTCGTAAATAGGCCGGTAGTTATAAAGTGTTCAAACGTTCAAGGCTCGCTTATGAGGGCAATTTTCCATTTCAGCATTTATTTTCAATTGCGTTCATAGAAAAGTATGCTCAAACAACTGCAAACAGATCGATAACTAATGTTTCGCTTCCGCACCAGTGTCAGCTAACGGATTAACTGAAACTAACGTATGAAAAAATACAG